GGATAATATGGTTGATTATTTTACAAAATGTTTAGCTAAAATAAAATCTGGATAGCAATGAGGAGGGTGAGTATTAAGCTTAAAGATAAATAAGTCACCTATAATGATATCCCATCTAGTTAATTGGATATTCCAAGATCTAAGTTCAAAGAGAAAAACAAATCACAATAGTAGTTGATTAACATAAACTAATTTATTTTTTCCATCCCTATGGTGCAAGTGCAAGAATTCTATAATGAAATAAATGTTAAATTCTTTAAAACAAAATTTTAATATAGTATATAGTTCTTTTTTAATGAAATTTTAAAATTATAGGAGTATTTTTATAAACACACCTATATGAGCATGAAAGTAAACCCGTTATTTTTTAGAATAGTGCGAATTCTTTAAATTGTTCATGAAAGCCGAGAACACACGAAGGCCGTGATGTGCTAACTTTTAAAACTCGTTACAAAGTATCCGAATATAATACATGTAATACAATATTTGTTTCTATAATAAGCCATCCTAAAAATAAGATTAAGTTAGTGAAATAAAAATTAGCACCCAACCCTATAAAAGAGAATATTAAAGATTAAGAATAAAAATTGAAAAAAAAAACAGGACAACCTTAAAAAGAGGGGGGACAACCCCTCTTTTCTTTTATTTGTCATTTCTTTCTCATTTTCTCTACTTCCTCCATCTCTCTCTTTCCTTTTTCTATGTTAAAATATTGCCTAAATATTTTAGAAAACTATAAAAGCAAGATGATTAAAATTACATTAAGCTAGATTAAAGTTCGACTTAGAGAAATTGAAAGGTTGAAAATCGTGGTTTGAAGACCCATTTGTCAAAGGTAAAATTTGTTTTTCATTTAACCTTAAAATTAAGATATTTATGTGTTTATTAATTATTTTAGAGTTAGTTTATATTGGGTTTGTTGTTGAAATAAAAAATTGAGTTAAGTTAGAGTTAAAATTTGAGTTGAATTTGGAGATTTGATGATTAAATACTTATTTATCTAATTAATGCTTTAATGAGATAATGATGGTGAAAAATGGATTATTGGACTCGTGAATTTGAGAAATCCCCAAGTTGGTTGGGATGATGGATTGTAAAGGTAAGTTATGAAAACAATTGAATTGGAAATTAATGATAGATTGTAAAGACAAATTATATGAAAATTGAATTAGAAATTAATGATAGATAATTGATTATAATAAAGTATAATTGGGTTTTTAAAAAGATTATAGAACAAATTGAGGTATAGTTATCGAGTAATTATCTAGATTTGGTCGAGAGTAAGAATCTAGTTAAAAATTCTCAATTTGAGTCTTTTCGATAAATTTCATTCTAAAAAATTCTTTTGTAATCTGATTTTTAAAATAATTCATTTTTAATATGTGATATTAATGATTTTTCAATAATTTTGCATCATTAGATTCTTTAGAGTAGGCAACTCTATCTCAGTAACCTTAACTTCTTTTGATCGTCTAATTGTGTTATGAGTAAATAATATATAACATATCACATTTTTTAGTTTCTTTAAAATCTACAACATGCATCATTTATTTAATTATGTCATAATTACATCCATTAAAACTTAGATGGAAACGAGACTTCTTGTGTAATTTGAAATGACTTGACATAAAAAATGATTTGATATGATTCTAAAAGAAAAAAAAGTTTTGATTATGTGTATTAAATAAGAGTTTCACTTAAAATTTTATTTAATTCTATGAATTTAATTATTAGTTTGATCAAGATTCTTCATTATGATTTGTATTCATATAATTTAAGTAAGTATTTGATTTATAATTTCAAATATGAGTTTGAATTTGAGTTTAGATTTTGATTACGAGATTTGATATTGAATTGCATTCTCAAATTTGATTATGAGCATGAATTATTGAAAATGTTGGTTTTAGATATTTTTGGAATAGATGTATGTTTATTGGATTTTTGATTTATTTGACTATCTTGAAGTCCCTAGCCATTAAGGGCGTAGCTTGTAAGCTCACCGATGTGAAAATAGTCTAGTTAACGAGAAAAGTATGGTACTAGCCCATGTATCGGCCAACATACAAGTATACCTAGCTATGATGGGGATAGCCTTTGGATGTTCTCATCCAATAATACGATATGATTTGATTACCCTATGTCTAGATTTCGATACTTGATATGATATAATTTGATTACAAGTGTTTTGATATGAGATTTCGATTGTGATTTTGAAAGATTTAACTATATGATATACAATTTGATATTTAAGACAAATATATTTTGGACTTTGAGAAACATACATTGCATCTTCGAGCAAATTTTAAATAATTGTTCTTTTGTCTATTTTCTTCCCTTAGTTCTCGTTGTGCATTATTTGCTCACTAAGTCGTTCTTTGCTCAATCCCACTATTTTAGTTATACAAGATTTGTGAGATTGTCCGTTGACTTCTTTAGAACTCGTTTGTTTCGAAGTCGACATATTGATCGTGTAACTTATTTAATTATAATATTTTGAACTTATATTTTGATATTGTTGCACACTTTAGAGCTTTTCGATTATATTTGTGAGAGTTGTATTAGGTTGTTGATTATGATTATTATTTTAGAAATGTATAAATATTATGAAACTATAGTTTGCGTTAAAATTAAGAACTATTGCATAATTAGGTTGTGATATTATAAACTCGAATGAATGTTTTGATTACTACAAGTCCGATAACTATGGTTTAGATATTCTAAACTTGCTTGAGTTAAGATGAGCTTTATGATTCTCTCGATTCTTTCATCGGTCATGGTCCACCTCGGGAGTTGCGATAGATTTTCTTAAAAAGCCTTACTTGAAAACAATGTTCACTTTTGATTTAAAAACTATGTTGATGAAACATTAAGTAAGGGCTCAAACTATTAGTACTCTTATTATATATTATATTTGTTTATGTACATAAATTATATGCAAATTATTTTATAAAAAAATAAGTGAAAGATTCTTGGATTTTTTTTAATAAAATATTGAAATTTTATTATTATTAAAAAAAGGCATAAGTTCCAAGACAAGATTAGCCGTTGGTCACTGTGTATTAAGCGAACAAGCTTTTCAATGAATTCTCTTTCATGCCACAATAAATTCTCAAACGATATTGTTTTTTTTTATTTGACTATAAATAGCTTTGTGAACACTCCTAACAAAATGCAAGTGAGGAAATGCAAGTAAGGAAAAATATAGGAGCACTTGACAAGCATTCTCTTTCAAACAATATTCTTTATTTTGTTTTGTTTTGTTTTTGTTTTTTTTTATATTCTCACTAACAAACCATATAATTTTATTTGTATTTTTTTCATTATATATTTAAATAAAAATGATACTATTTTATTTTGAATATCAAATTTTACAAATAGTGTAAACTTATTAAAAAAACAAATAAGATGATTGATATTGTTGTATTTATAAGATGGTGTGCAATAAATATTTAATCCATTGCATCATAAATTTTTTAAAATAGTGTATATTTTCTCAAGAAAATAACTTAAATATACCTCAAAACAGTCATCTAGAAAATTTTAGTAAAGCTATTTTACTATTTTCCATTCGTGTGATAATATATTTTTTTTCAACAATGGTTCTATATCGATTTTTTTTTAAATGGATTTAAACTATTATTCTAGTCAAATGATTTTTATCTCTTAAGTCCCAACAAACGAATATGTGATCCTCCACTTACGTATGAATAATATTAAAATATTAACATTGATATAGCCCTCGGTTGTAAAGTATCACGGTAGCAAAATAATAATAACTAAAAAAAAAAACAATGATTTGAGTATGAATAATCTATTTAAAACGTGGTAACAACGGTATTTAGTTTTGACTTTAAAAAAATAATAAAATAAAAAATAAATTCCATATTTAATGGTTGATATCATATGACTTCTTTTTAAACAACAAGAAATATATAGATTTTCTCTATAAAATTAATTCAATCCACCAATAGCACAAGAGTAAATTATAAATTAATCCCTCTAATGTTGAGAAATAAATTAATTAATTCTTTTTGGTTTTGAAAATTAATTCTTTAATTCTTGAAAAAAATTGTTAAAAATATTTAATTTAATATTATTTTACTTTAAAAAACATCTTTTTTCCTCAATATTTTCATAATTTCTATTTATTAAAAAAACATAAGAAAAGAATATAAAATTGACAAAAATTAATTAAATAATTAATTCTTTAAATAAGATAGATTAATTAATTTTTTTATTAAAATTAAAAAGAATAATTTATAATTTACTCTGATAACAATTTATTATTTTTTTTTTTTAAAGAAGAAAAAAAAAGTATAAACCAATCCAACACTGCGCCGGCAGAAGACTCATTGACTGTAAATTTGGGAGTGACAGTAAGGCGGCGGACAAACTCGTGGGCTGTAAAATTAGGAGTGACGGAGTCAAGGGTAAGAAATTTGAGTCAGATTTTCTTTTCTGCCACCCGTAGAGCGAGTAAATTATAAATTAGTCACTTTATTTTTTATAAATGAACTAGTTAATTCTTATTGTTTGAAAAGCTAATTATTTAATTTAGTTCAATGTTGATCTTGTTTGATTTAAAACTACTCTATTGGACAAAATGTTTTTTTTTGTTATATTTTATTATTTTTTTAAGATAAAAAAACAAAATAAATTAAAAATGAAAATAATTATGTTATAAATATATTTAAAAACATAAAAACTAAATAATTAATTTTAAAAGAAAAGAACTAATTAATTCGTTTCTAAACATTAGAGGGATTGTTTTTATAATTTACTCCCGTACAGCATATGGAGAACACAGTAGAAACAGCAGTAGAAAGCGATAAAGAAAAAAAGAAGAAAAAAACTTTATTTGTCTCACTCTCAGTCATACTCACATTTACATACCCAAAGGCGAAAGCCAATCAAGAATGCATAAATGAATATATAACTCCTCCTCTTTCGTTGCAAAATCAATCTCTCTTCAACACTGCTTGGTCCAAAAAAAGAAAAAAATGGCATTGAAACCTATTGACAACGCTCTTCCACAGCCGCAAGAAACCGCCAAATTTGGTGTAAATGAAGAAAACAAGACAGCATCATTGCCTCCTCCTGCAGATCCGATCATTGATTATATCTCTTCTGAGAATCTTGAACCCATTTTAGATCCTGAATCCGAGATCCATGTAAGTCTTTCTTTTTTGGATCTTTCTCCAATTTTAGACCAAACCCAGATGCCATTTCATTGTAGATTTTGAGCGTGTATCACTTAATTTGGGTTTTTACTTGTTTTTTGTTTTCAGGGTTTAGTGGAAGGGTTAGATTCAAAGGATTGGACAAAGGTTTGCGAGTCATTGAATAATGTTAGGAGATTTGCACTCTATCATTCGTTGCTCTTGCTGCCAATCTTGTATGTAATTTTTTTTTTTGGGTGCAGATTTGAGATAATTAGTAGTGTTTTTTCAAGTGTGTTGACTGTGGGGTTGTGCTTAAATAATTTTATTATAGGGAAAAAGTAATGTTAGTGGTGGTGAAAGCTATGAAGAATCCTAGAAGTGCTTTGTGCAAGACATCTATCATGGCTTCATCTGATATTTTCAAGGTCTTTGGTGACCAGTTACTTGACTCTACTAATAATGCATTTGATAACTTGGTGAGGGCTGAGTGCTTTTTTTTTCTTTTCAATTCTTAATTTGTTGTCATTTGCTTTTTTTATTTTATTTTGCATAAAGTGGGTTTTGTTTGAATTGTGGTTAATGTTTGGATTGTGATGTGGGTGCACAGCTGTTGCAACTACTACTGAAAGCTTCTCAAGACAAAAGGTTTGTGTGTGAAGAAGCAGAAAAAGCACTGAATGCAATGGTTGAATCCATGACTCCTCTGCCTTTGCTTAACAAGCTTAGGTCATATGTTAGCCATGCCAACCCCAGAGTCAGGGCCAAAGCTGCCATAACTATCTCTAACTCTGTCTCCAAGATGGTATAACCTATATAAATCTATATCTTTTCTGTGTTGATATTGCTGAGTTTTGGCTTGTAAAGGGGAGAATGACAGATATTAATTGGTGGGAGTTTATGTGTTGTAAATTTCAGGGCCTGGAAGGAATGAATGAGTTTGGGTTGGTTTCTCTGGTTCAAATGGCTGCAGATTTGTTGAATGATAGGCTGCCTGAGGCAAGAGAAGCGGCAAGGAACATTGTGACTTCTATATACGAAGCATATACCAGAAATGAGGAGCAGAAGCAGGAGTCATGGCAAAACTTTTGCCAATCCAGTTTACCACCCATTCATGCCCAGTCTATGGTCAAAATTACTAGTTCTCAATAATATTCTACGTTCTGATAATGTTTACTTTATCAGCAGAGGTAATAGAGCTACGGTTATGGTCACGCGAAGAAGTTGTTAATCAGACCTTGAGTTTTTGTGTAAATTCCATTTTTACATGATTTTAGCTATAGGTGTTCTGTTAATGTCTGGTGATGTTTTCAAGTTCTTTTTTCTCAGTCCTGCATTTGCTTGTTGAAAACTGTTGGATTTCATTACTAATCGTACAGATTCATTTGATTAAAAGATGACGAAGCACGGAGTGCATTAGCATTCATTCTTAAGATACCAAGTAATGGCTTTGATTAACATGACAGATCTGGTTTCTTCTGTTTCCTGTCGATAGTTGTTTTAAAGGGTCGCTGTTATGGGGCCGTGGGTTCTCAATTTTCATTCTCTTCCTTGTCACAGCATTTCATGGAAATTATTGGATCTGGTTTTATTCTGTTTGCTTCAGTAGCTGTTTAAGGGGGCATTATTATGGACTCTTTGAGCTACTTTCCTTTTTCAAGAAATCAAATTACCAGATGAGCTGATGTCCACTGCATCTTTCAGGTCTCATCAACCAGCATAACCTTGAAGTGCCACACCTGGTGCAAAATATTTCTTCGAAGAAATTGTTTGCAGCAACAGGAGAAAAACGAAAAATTTTAAAGTTTTGGAATCCCCAAAACCAATGAAAAAGTTTCTAAACTCGATTTCAAATGATTTAAAGTTCAGAAATGGTTTTAGCAAAAAAAAAAAAAAAAAAAAACCTAAAATAAAGTGAATGCTTATCAAGCAAGTAATATAGTACAGAATCCTTCAAAAAATGAAACGAAAAAAAAATAATATTAATAATCTACACTGATTTAGTGCCCACAAGAACGAAGTCATTCCTTCCACAAAATTGTCGTCTGCAAACCATAGGAAAAGTATCTTCTTTTTTTGTTCTGATTTTGGGAACAGCTGATGGTGAGGAACCATAAACCAGGCTGGAAATTTCTGGTTTGAATTGCCAGTGTAATTTCGTGGTAAGAGTGCATCCAGAGATTTAGAGGACCAGTAGCGTCCAAAGTCCTCAAGTCCAACCAGTAACTTTTCATAAGCATGCAAAGTCATAAACTCCGAAAGGGAACTTCTCATATGAATTGTGTTCGCAGATCGAAAGTTGCTTCCACTGTAAGATAAATTCATAGAAGAATCCATCTTTGGCTTATGTCTTCTCTGTATAACTAATTTATTTAGGCTCTTTAATTTTGTTCAAGCAAAGAGTACAAAGCGATTTCCACCTCAGAAAATGGTTGTCCAACATAGAGCTTAAGCTGGCCTTTCTTCACAACAATTACTTTCTTGGAATGTGACTTCACTGCCTCGTGAAGTTCCTGCAAAAATTCAAAAAAAAAATTCTTTCTTATTAGAGCAATGATTAAGAGGCATCCTATCGATGTGAAATATATAAAAGTAACTGCAATGAAATCAGTGTTCTCAAAACCCCCAAACTCCGTAATAGGAAGTCAATGATGTCTTTGTTATTGCAACCACAGAATCTCAACAGCATTACAGGCTTGATTTGGTCATGCAGATAATTGTCTCATTGTGAGGAATGCTTCTAAGAAAGTGTATACGTAAGCTTGATGCCTTTATGAAATCAGGTTGGATTGCTTACTTTTACTTGCAGTGGAACAATGTCAGCACTGAAGTCACCTAAACCTTCAAAGAAGGACTCGAGTAAATAACAGAAATTATTGGCATCGGCACGGTCCTCAAAAGCAACAGTGTAAGAAAAGTCCCTGTGCTCATCTTCCTGAGAAGCCACTCTTAGAGAATAAAGTCCACCAGATTCTTCATGTTCTGAGCCTCTACGCATAAGTATAGCCTGGGGACACATATTAAGTTATTTGCTTAGAAAGTATAAGAAAATTATTCCTATTATTGTTTAGCATACTTTTATATCAAAGCCATGAGAAGGATGGTACAAATTGGCACAAGCATTTGGAAGCATTAATTCACAAACAATTTAACAGAAAACTAATTTTAGGAGAGGAAGATTTGCACCTATTCACATTCATAGCTTTTACAAAAGCTCATAGGAGAAATAGTCTACTAAAAAGAAAAAAGAAAAAAAAATTAAAAGAGTCAGAATATCAATTACTTACTAGAACATACGGAAGATTCAACCACCACAAATCTTTCTGCACGTCTGATTGTTTATCCCCAACTTTATTAGCCACTTGTCTCTTTCCAGGACCTCTGCCGCCATTTCTACTCAATGCAGCAGGTCTGTCAAACTTTATGGTAGTTCCCTGGTCTTCTTTGGTCAAGCTTTCAGAATTCAGGGTCTCCAAAACTCTTGATTTTCCTGCCTTTGGAACTTCATTTGAAGACCTTCCTTTCCTGGTCTCCTGGACAGCACCTAAAAGTTTTTACAAACAACCCGAGATTGCAGACAGTTTTAACAGCAAAATATATCTGAAATTCAACTGATAGCAGAAATGATAGATTATGCATTCGCACCATCTAAAACTAAGCCAATATATCTAAATTTCCTAGTGAGCAGAACTCAGCATTCCAAGATTTGATTAATTATACAATCATGAATTCCATATTATCAAGAAAAATAACCAAAGTTAATAACAAACATTCAATAAAAAGCACCAAAATATCACACATTAATAACAGTTCTAAGAATATTACCAGATCCCATTTCCTTTAGCAAATTCACCCTTTCTTTCTCCAACTTGTTCCCCTTATTTTGCACCGAATTCAACTGCACATTCCCATCTTTCCTTCCACTATCCTTTTTCACAGACCCCACATCATTTTTTCTAAACACACCATTTGGATCACTGCCACTTCTACTAGAAACACTTTTATCCTTCAAATCCGAAAAGCCCTTTGGAGTACTCCTCACATCCATTGATGGACTCTTAAACCTAAACTTCTTTTTAAACATTAAAGTCTTATTTTCCTCTTTCAAATCCAAACCATCCTCACCAAACCCATCCCCAAACAACCCCAAATACTCCATAATGGAATCTGGTAACTTCTCTCTCTTCGAATTCAACCTCTTCTCCAACTTAATCACATCAATCTCCTTCTCAAGCTCACTCCCTTTATTACCCTCAATTAACTCCCTCCTCTCCCTCTCTCTCACTTCCCTCGCCATTACCTTAATTTCATTGATTTTCTCTTCCAATTCACTCTCATTAGCATAAACATCATTTCCATTAACATCCAACAAAACATTCCCTTTCTTGTCCAAATTATTAAATTTCCTTTCTTTTCCATCAGAATCAGTATTTCCAAATAACCAAACAACACAAATTGTTTGAAACAACAAAACCCCAATAAAATAACCACTAAATTTCAAGACAGACTTCACAGAGAATTTACCAGCGTTGCCACTGTATTCTCCTGCTGTGCTAACAGTCTCTGAGACTTGAAATTCTTCAACTTTATCAGCGTCTAATTCTTCGTTTGATAGAACTTCCTTTAAAGGGGTGTCGTAAACGGTGTCGTTCTGGAGTGGGGTTCTTTCTATTAGGGGTAGGGGTGCGGTAATCAAGGGTTTAGTTAGGGTTTTGAGGATTTTGAGACGCAAGTGGTTTTTTCTCTTTATGTGTTTTGGTGGGAATGGAGTGGAAGTAGTGGAAGCAAGAAGTGGTTTTAGGCGAAATCTGTGAGGTGTGGCGAGTGGGATTAGAATCGTGGAGGTTGAGAGGAAGGTGAAGGTGGCGCGGGGCGTACCCGCCATCGCAAGCGGTGGTGGTGGAGGAAGAGGAGGGCCGTTTTGCGGTTTTTGAGTTTCAAAGCTTATAGGCATTGCTTGGTGCTGAATTGCGTTTTTCAGGAATGCTAGGCCCAATTGTTTTTTTGAGGCCAGAAGTCAGGCAAGACTAAAAGGTAGCCCAGCCCAAAATATTGCATTACTATTTTTCAAAAAAAAAAAAACCGGAAATGACAGTATCATGGTATGCGGCATGTGTGCCGCCAATTGGGCTTTGAAGTCCTATTTAATTTTTTTTTACATTTTTCTTTTTTAATATGATCCTTCATTGATTAATTTTGTTTCGGATTGCTGCTTACGTTCTCACTGTCAAGTTCCGCTCCGTGGAGGCATGGCTATTGGCTAGGCAGTGACACCCTCTTTTTGGCAACACAAGCAATAGTTTTGTTAGAAGAAACAGCCACTAGTCCACGACCATAGGTACTATTGACATAGAAATCATGTTTAACACCATCTCCGAAACCCAGAACACCAAGTCTGGAAGATGACAGCATAAGCAAAATTTCAATGTTAACTAGCTATGATAAGCATCCGTTGTTGCTTGCACCCCATCAATAAAAGTTCCTTCTTTAGGATTCTAACCAAAAACGCTACTCACCATCTCAAATCTGTTCGGACTAAAGAGGTTGGAAGCAACCAACTGCAATACAAGCATTTGGTTACCGGACAATTATTTTATTGATTTCCATTCCCACAGATTAAAAAATTCTAGGAAATTAGCATCTCTCCTAATATAGGAACAAACATGATAGCAAAAATATGTACGCATCTGTTGAGCACTTTGCAGCATTTTCCATTCGCCAGGAAATACCTAATGCCTAGCTGATGAAACACAAAGTGAGCCGAAGATCTGCCACCATTATCATAATTTCACTAAATAGTGATGGATTTTTCAATAGTTATTTGTCAAAAATTCATCACTATATACAATTAGCGACATATTATAGACACTATTTATTATGTCGCTAATATGGTGATCACTATTTTTTTAGCAACCAAATATTTCTTTTGTCACTAATCAATGACAAAAATATTAATCGCTACATTGTTGAATTTTTGTCGATAAATCGTTCTAAATCGACTCATTTATAATGTCTCATATTTGTTGCCATACCATTGTTATTTTCACTTAAATCTATTGTTAAATAGCGACAAAATGAGTTATCGTTAAATTATAGTCGCTAATATCCTCACAAGTTTGTCTCTAAATCTATCATTATTTAACGGCTATATATGTATATGTCGCTAATTACTCTCTCTATTCCATCACTCGAATCCATCGCTAGTTTTTTTATAAAAAAAATGCAATAGTTGTTTATTGATAATTGTAATAACAAACAAATATAAACAACACCAAATATAATATATTATTCAATAGAATTAAAATTATATAAATTAAAATAAAATAAATATATAAATGTATTAAGATATACTAAAATATTTAAAACTTTTTTAAAAAAAAATAGTCTTCATTATCACCGTCCTATGCAAGATCTTTCGGCTATCGGCTTTGGAGAGAAACAATTGACTATTGGATTGTGGGAGGGCAGCATGAGGGATAAGAGGTGGTCGGTGGTTCTCTAACAATCTCATAACTCTCTCAGAATCGAGTTTGCATATTGCTAACTTGACTAGTATGTTGTTGGATGATAGCCTCTATCCCCTTGATCTTATTGTTATACTAGGCAAAAATCTCCTAGATATTACCATTAGGATACCGCGAAGAGATAGAGGAAGAGTTAACGCCAAAATAAGAGTAACACTAGGACGCATAATTTTTTATGTCATACACTCTCTCGCTTCTTCTCCCCACCAATAACATTCAAATATAAATTAAATATGTCGAATATCTTGAGACAATGCATCACATTCATATTGCTCCTTAGTAGTTGCATATTGCATTCATTGCACGCCCTCCTAAGTCATTGAAATAATTAAGATATTAAATCATAAATATATTTTTAAGATATTATATATATATATATATATATATATATATATATATATATATATATATATATATCTTTCCATTAGTGCTTGTAGCCACTTGTCGACAAATGTCCTATCCTTTCGGATTTTGGTTACAATCTAATTTATTATGCTGAAAAAAATAAACAAAAATAATATAAAATAAATAAATACAAAAATTAATTTATAACACAATGAATAATATAGTATTTATCAAACACTTAGTATGATTAATCAAAGAGTTGGACCGTACTTCTACATGAAGTAAAAAAATAATATTAGTACTTTTTATATTAAATTAACGAGTTTAAATAAAATATAAGAAAATAATTAATATTTATCGTAAACTCATTAAAGTAGAAGTATTTCATCTCTATGAAGACAAACCTTTATATGAAGCCAACAACGTCCAATTGCTCCTTGAAAATTATGGTAATTTTTTGGAGCACTTACTTGATGGAACCATACCGTCGAACAAAATAAATAAATAATAAACAAGTGAATTAATGATTCTAATATAATATATAAAAATATAAAACTAATGATCACATGTAAAATATATTACTTACCAGTTATTCATAACCTAAATGAGCCATCCATCATTAGATCCGGACGTACGGGGAGCACTACCGATGGAGGCACTACCGAAGGGGATGCGGATGTGCTAACGCCAATATCAAGTCCGCGACTCTAGACAATTAGACTAGTAGTGTCACATCCATGTGCATCGTCATTATTAATCACATGATCAACATTAAAGCTACGGCCATTGACACTACGACTAGATCTACCTAATCCATGAGGCATAACTCAAAAATAACACTTAAAATAATTTAACAAATGAATAACAATTCAACATAAAATATATTATAAATTAAAATGAACAAAATTCAACACGTTCAAAATACACAACAAACATAAAAAAAAAAAAGCCAAAACGATATAATTTAATGAATACAATAAATAAAATTAATCTTTAATTATAATTGTCATAATAATATTTTAAGTTTTTCTCTTTATTAGTCGATTCCGATACATATTCACTTTCATCTTTTTCACTAGCTTCAATTATTTCTATATCTATAAACGATCAATTTGGATCATTCAACAACTGATCTTTACCATCATCTTGGACCAAATTATGTTAGATTTTTGAATCATCATCGTGAAACATATATGTATTCTATTGGACTCTAACAGATGATTCGGCAAATCAATCACAGACTCTAGTTTTATCTTACAAATACGTCACAAATCCCGATGGTCGTGCTTCAAGTTAGGATACACGACATAATGTACTTGAGCCGATTGTGTTGCTAGAACGGAGGGTTCGCATTTGTCGAAACTCTCCGCTAGTCTATATTGCGGATGAACCTTTAAATTTCTTCCGTCCATACATTTAGGATAAGTAACAACAAATACGAGTAAATTCTTCAATCATATTCACAAAATCATCATTTAAATACCCATCTATACATATAACATACATCCATTCATGATCGAACCTCATTATTTTTGTTTCTTCATTTCCACGGAAATATAAAATTATTGAATTAATAATTTTTCTAAACATCTAATAAAATTTTGATAAAATCTCCCATATGAATTGTATATTTTTCAATTAACAAATACTCTAAATGATCATACAAACAATAAATTAAATTAATCAATAATCAATTTGCGCATACCGAGACCAATAATTGTCTCGAATACTTTATCGAAATTAAATATTAAACTCATCCTTCCAACTCCATCGCAAAGCATGGAATGAATTTTTTTATCCTCAATTCTCGAGAGTCTTCAACCCTTTGGGTTTAATACACTACGATATATCTCGAAACACTTCAACAATTATATAAAAAATAATTAAACTAATTAATTCTAATTCTAACCTAATTAAGATTAAAATAATAATAAATTAACAATTTTTAATATAAATAAATTTATAATTCAACCAATTAAACATCATTAACATAACTAAAAAATTAAATATAAATCAAACTAACTTAATTAATTCTAATTCTAACCAAATTAAATTTAAAATAAAAATAAATTAACAAGTTTTAATATAAATAATGTTTAATTTTTCTTAATTAAGTTAATTTAATTATTATTTTAAATTTGATTTTATTAGAATTAGAATTAATTAAGTTAATTAGATTTATATTTAATTGGTTAATTAGGTTAATTATGTTTAATTGGTTGAATCAAAATTTTATTTATATTAAAACTTGCTAATTTATTATTATTTTAAATTTAATTTGGTTAGAAATAGAATTAATTAAGTTAATTTTATTTATAATTAATTAGGTTAATTTTTATTAATTGGTTGAATTAAAAGTTTATTTTTATTAGAAATTGTTAATTAATTTTTATTTTAATTTTAATTTGGTTAGAATTACAATTAATTAATTTAATTTAATTTAAATTTAATTAATTAATTAGGTTAATTATGTTTGAATCAAAATTTATTTATATTAAAATTTGTTAATTTATTATTATTATAAATTTAATTTGGTTAGAATTAGAATTAATTAAATTAATTTGATTTATATTTAATTAATTATAAAGATTAGTTTTGTTTAATTTTTTGAATTAAAATTTTATTTATGTTATAAATTGTTAATTAATTGTTATTTTAAATTTAATTTGGTTATAATTAGAATTAATTAAGTTAATTTGATTTATATTTAATTAATTAATTAGGTTAATTATGTTTATTTGGTTGAATTAAAAGTTTATTTATATTAGAAATTGTAAATTAGTTGTTATTTTAAATTTAATTTGGCTCGAATTAGAATTAATTAAGTTAATTTGATTTATATTTAATTAATTAATTAGTGTAATTAATAAAATTATAATTAATTAACAAATTTAGTCTAGTTCAACCAATTAAACATAATTAACCTAATTAATTATAAATAAAATTAACTTAATTAATTAAAAATCAATTTTGATTAAATTTAAGTTATAATTAATTATCTAATTAATCTAACAAT